CTTTTATGAGTATTTTTGATTACTTAACTGCTGATTTTATAAGCCTGAGGATCGGACTACCTTAAACATATCTGTACAAAAATGCTTGTATGTTAATTAACAAGTATTCCTATCTGATTACGTACATGGGAATATCGTCGTGTAGCGATTTTTTGAAGCGTTTTCTGGCTTTTTCCCTTCATTACATGCATGCAGTTCACCATTTGGAATTGCCTGAATAAATTTTAAACATTATTTTGCATTAATAAAAATATATATGTTTAAGTAAACTATATGCTAAATAATCCCAATGTCATTTTATTTGAATTACACGGAATATTTCTTTGGATGGTTGTTACTAGCATTTCACTTTACCCTGTATTCCTCTTTCAGCCTGTTGTTCTCATTTTCAGATAGAACAAATATTCTTTTGTGCAAATCTGTCACAGCTATAGAGTTTTCTATTTCTGGTTTTCTTGTTTGTTGATTTGATTTTAAATTCATTATTGGATTTTCAACTCCATTCATTTCCATCTCCTGTATTTTTTCATCTGTTAATAACCCATAACATTTATCACAATACAAATGTAGTAGCTATTGATTCAAGTATGAAAACATTAATCCATAGGGAAAAAAATGATGTAGCTGAATTGTATTTATTACCCGCACGTGAAATAGCTTAAATGCTGTTTCATAAAAATAAATAAAAATTAAACTTAATGAATTGATTTATTATGTATATATATTTTGAAAAGCAAAGGTCTTACGAGGGTGTACAAGTATGAAAAAATATTCTAAAGTACCTTTAGTTAAAGGGTCATCGACCAAAGAAAATTCATTTATGTTAGTTTCTTTATTAGATCTATCCTTCTTTCTTCTTCTCCATCTACCCAAATTATATACAAAATATTAAATGTCTTTTTTTCAGTAAAACATTTCTCCCCCAATCATATCTAAATTTCCCTGCAAATACTGCAATAGTTTTTGTTGATTATATGATATATTTTCTACTGTTTTCAATTCATGAAAATATTTGTTTTTCCTTCAAATGTAAGAAACGTAAATACCGAATAATTACTATTCCTGCAGTAACAATGATAAATAGAAGAGTTACAGTTCCAACCGCCCCTCCTACTGCTGTAGATTTTACTTGGTCGTCCTGATGAGATGATTCTTGTAAAAAGAAAATATCAAAACTGTCTGATTATTGTGGCAATATGCTTATCTCTTGGCTTGAATATAATTCCAATCGATAATTTAAATCATTGAATTTGATTGTAAAGTTAAAAATCATTATTCTTCAGTAAATTCTTCGAACATTACAAGATAAATGTCCATAAATTAATATCACTTTATTAAGTTTAATTACTTCTTCGGTCACATTTAGATCCTTCAAATGATTCCACACATCCATAAGTACAAGTTCCATTCTGTAGGTTACAAGTTTTATTTTTACAGTTCTCTGAACACTTGTTCCTGCAGTTCAGTCCATAATTGCCAAAATGGCATTCTATACAAAACAAAGGGATTTGTAGAAACAGTCATTTTTAGAAATGCAGTTTCACTACAGTAGACATATGATTATTCATAATTAAAATCTCTTTCTCACAAAGAGTTTTACACGTTTTCGTAAAAACAAAATGACAAAAAGAAATTATATGTAAAACCATTTTGAGTTCACCTGAGTAAACTCAGATGACCTATTGCTATCCGTTTTCGTCCGTCGCTGTGCGTCGTGCGTTAACATTTGAACATTTTCAGCTTCTTCTCTGCAACCACTGAACCAATTTCAACCAAATTCGGCTCAAAGCATTTATGGGTGAAGGGGAATGAAATTTGTGAATTTCATGATCCCTGCCCCCCTGGGGCCTGAGGGGTGGGGCCAAAACCACTAAAATTAATGCAATCTTTAAAAATCTTCTTCTTTACTCCTGGACAAGAAGCAGTCAAAATGTTTGCATGATTGTAATCAGCATTGAGTCCTCTACCAAAATTGTGAAATTCATGGCCCTGGGGTCAGAGGTTCTAGTGCTAGGGCGGGGCTAAATAAGTATGTAGTGAAAATGCATTATTTCTTTGAAAATCTTCTTCTCTGCTACTGGGTATTAAATAAACCAACTAAGTACATAGTTATGAGCAAGAATGCCTCTACCAAAATTGTGAATTTTATGGCCCCAGGGTCAGGGGTTCTGGTGTTAGGGAGGGGCTTTATTGATTATATAGTGAAAATACATGAATCCTTTGAAAATCTTCTTCTCTGCTCCTAGGTATTGAATAGACTAACTAAGTGCATAGTTATGATGAGCAAGAGTGCCCCTACCAAAATTATGAATTTTATGGCCCCAGGGTCAGGGGTTCTGGTGTTAGGGAGGGGCTCTATTGATTATATAGTGAAAATACATGAATTCTTTGAAAATCTTCTTCTCTGCTTCTGGGTATTGAATTGACTAACTAAGTGCATAGTTATGATGAGCAAGAGTGCCTCTACCAAAATTGTGAATTTTATGACCCCAGGGTCAGGGGTTCTGGTATTAGGGAGGGGATCTATTGATTATATAGTGAAAATACATGAATTCTTTGAAAATCTTCTTCTCTGCTTCTGGGTATTGAATAGACTAACTAAGTACATAGTTATGATGAGCAAGAGTGCCTCTACCAAAATTGTGAATTTTATGACCCCAGGGTCAGGGGTTCTGGTGTTAGGGCGGGGCTCTATTGATTATATAGTGAAAATACATGAATTCTTTGAAAATCTTCTTCTCTGCTCCTAGGTATTAAATAAACTAATGAAGTACATAGTTATGATGAGCCAGAGTGCCTCTACCAAAATTGTGAATTTTATGGCCCCAGGGTCAGGGGTTCTGGTGTTAGGATGGGGCTCTATTGATTATATAGTGAAAATACATGAATTCTTTGAAAATCTTCTTCTCTGCTCCTAGGTATTGAATAAACTAACGAAGTACATAGTTATGATGAGCAAGAGTGCCTCTACCAAAATTGTGAATTTTATGGCCCCAGGGTCAGGGGTTCTGGTTTTAGGACGGGGCTCTATTGATTATATAGTGAAAATACATTAAATCTTTGAAAATCTTCTTCTCTGCTCCTAGGTATTAAATAAACTAACGAAGTACATAGTTATGATGAGCAAGAATTCCTCTTCCAAAATTGTGAATTTTATGGCCCCAGGGTCAGGGGTTCTGGTTTTAGGACGGGGCTCTATTGATTATATAGTGAAAATACATTAAATCTTTGAAAATTTTCTTCTCTGATCCTGGGTATTAAGCAGATGAACTACCTATATAGTTATGATGAACAAGGGCCATAATCTTCCAGAATTGTGAATTTCAAGGCCCCAGGGTCAGGGGTACCGTAGAGGTGGGGGGGGGCTGTACTTATATACTGAAAATGAATGAATTGTTTGAAATCTGCTTCTTGGTATTAATCAAATATTTTTGAAAAGCAAGGATGCCTTTTCAAAAATTGTGCAATGTGTGGATCTAGGCCTAAGGGTCAGGGGTTAATGTGTAGGGGCACTACTGATTATTGCTGAATATTACTGATTAGTTGAAATGCATTTTTTGTTCCCCTACCTTGCCTATGGGTATTAAGTTACTAAACTAAGCAACTGCTAAGTGTATACATGTAGAACGTATGATGATCAATGGTGCCTCTTTCAAAATTGTGAATGCCATAGATCTGGCTTAAAACATGAATCAAATTCAATCACTTGAAAGTTGTTGCATAATGCTCAGGTGACCTATAAGGCCCATGGGCCTCTTGTTTACTTATTTTTGTCACTTAAACTGTTTCTCTGCCTGCATTATGATCTTAGCAAGCACAATATAAATTTTCCTTCCATGGTTGTGTTTTGCGTACCTTTGTCACAGTTCGGAGACCCCATCCATCCCGCAGAACAAAGGCATGATCCATCAACACGGTTACAGACATCATGGCATTTATCAGAACAATTCTGGGCACACTTGATTCCATAGCTACCACTATCACATGCTTTAAAAATGAATGCACAAAATTCTCGTATAACTATCATCGTAGTTTTTTTTATGTATTAATATGAAATATAAAGATAACAAACAGTGATCGATGTAAAACAAAAAAAATCTACAAACAATACAAACATGAGGAGAGGGCATAAAACACGAACCCCTAATTACATGAAAAATGAAAATATCTGAGGTTGATATTGAAGTGATTTGGAGGTTCTCATTCACAATGTTTATTTACTGTTGGAATTCTGATGGAGCGTAATTACCGGTATATATTTTTAAGGCTTCAGTTGTTTTTTTAAAGCAGAATTCATTCGAAATCTCTGAATGAAAAGTAAAGCACTTACTATAGCTATTATCTACGTTGATTTATCAACTTACAACAGATACTTGCATTTATTGTATGTTGACTTGAAATATGTAACTAGTAAAAGGCACTATAACAATGTATTGTATGCAATATCTGTTTCATATTTGAATTGCGTACGGACTATATACTGTAAATAAACTGATTTTTAAATAAAATATCTTAAACTTTTCCATCGTCACCTTTCCTTGCTTCCATATTCCAATATCACCTTTATATATGGTGTGTATGCCTCGCTGTTTGCAACACTGCCTATCAATAAATCTTAGCTTTGGTTGTCATTGTTTCTTAAAATTGTTAGGTCATTTTTGATTGACTAGTCCTCGTCTAAAATAATTTTTAAAAATAATTCTTTTTCCATTTTAACTAATATCAACAGGAGAAGAGGAAATTTAAGAAACAAATCTTTTTATGCACTCACTTTCATTGCATATGATTCCTTGAAATCCATCTTGACATCCAAGTTCACAGTGTCCATCTTGGTGATTACAATGGTTTATACTGTGTCGGCAGTGATTACTACACTGTTTTGTGCAATTCAATCCATAGAATCCAACGGAACAAACTAAATATAACCGAAAATCTTTATCGAGAATATACATGTACGTCTAATAGGTTGTTCTTATAATAGATGTTTGAAACGAAACATTTTTTTGTTTTTAATTTATAGAATATTGTTTCATTTGTTCTTTATATGAAGTTTCATCGAAATCAACATCAGAGAGATCGGATAGAAAGTGTAGAAACATAGTGTTTTGAAAGACATACAGAAATTTAGACTGTATCTGAGAAACTGAAATTCGTCAATATAGAATAAAATAAATGTTTTGGAAACGTATTTCCAAGGGGTATTCTCTTAACAACATTGTTATTTGAACGAAAACCGTGAGTTTTATCGCAATTCTGATTTGATTTTCTTTTCACACTGACACGCAGAATAATATTTTTTTAATTCTTTAAATAAATTACATTATTTCACTGTTGAAAATATAATAAATAAGATTATCCATCTTAACCTATTTTATAACTGACAGACACAAAAAAAACCCAGAAAAAATACCGAAAGAAAGAATCTTAATTTTGCATTAACTCTATGGTATTCCGGCAGTAGTGCTAAAACAATCACAGTCATATCAAAGAAAACTCTGTTTATCGTACAATAGATATGAAATTTACATATAAAATCCAAAATAAAAATTGGTTAAAATTTATTGAATAAATTTTAATATATCATACCAGGTATAAACAGGTACGATAATTGTTAAAAGAAATGAACACCAGCATAAAGATACCAAACCTCACACCTTTATCACAGTGCTTCCCCGTATATCCAGGTTTACAGCCCGGGTCACAACTTCCGGTTGTTCTGTTACAAGGGACGCCATTTACACAGTGCCCACTACAGTTGTATATACAATCAGGACCATACGTTTCTGCCGGGCATTCTGTAAAATTCAGAACTAATCTCAGTCTCGTTCACTACCTCTTTCTGGTCTTTTGAAACAAAGGCAACTATTCCTGTGTCTTCGTCACCAGAAAAATGTGATCATTAAAAAATGTTCATTTAAGGTATGTCACTGGTGAAACTTGTTAAATCAAGGATTTTTTGAGAGGTATATTTTGGATAAGTACTTATAAACATGTAGTGTGACTCAAAATCGCAGAGAAAATAGGGGGTCAGTGTGCATCTTACTGATCTACGGCACAATTAAGTTGACCTTTTTGCACTTAACTTTTAACTCTTTGGTTAATTACTTTAACCTTCATCATAGTTTATCAGATGTAACCATGGCAATAAATATAATTTTATTTTACGTAAAATAGTTTGAGTAATATTTAACATTGATCAATTCTTGCAAATTAATGCGCGTAAATTATTGTGTGACCTTTTTGCACTAAAAAGGAACATATTTGGGGGTATTAAAAAAGTAAATAGGCAATAAAACAATTTCTTAAATCAAACTTTTTACGACTTAAGTGCCGATTCTTCAAAAGTATCGAGTACTTTAAAATAATGAAAGAAAATATTGGGGTCAGTGATGTTAATATTGAAATATTGATCAAAATATGCGAATTTAAGGCGAAAAATGATGTAAATTTTATCTTGACTTATTTGACATAAAGTTTGTTGAAGGAAGGTGTAAAACTTGTTCTAGAAAAATAAATTAAGACCTATATAAAATATCCCTAGCTATATCATAACGGAAAATATTCCACGAGTAAAAGTATGAGGTTAAAGTTCCAAGATTTCAAATTTAATAAATGTGCAGATTTGCAGAATTATCTGCTAAATATCCTTCCACCACAAGAAATAGTCCCTCATAAATCTTGCTTCTTTGTAAATTTTTGAGCAGTTTTTTGTTGAATGTTAAAACATTAACATTGTTAAATTTAAATGTGTTATAAAAATTGAATTTTGATAAATAGTTTTGAAGTTAGAGGTTCTGCGTGAACTTTTCTTAAAAGCTGACGAGTGACATACCTTAAAGGTGCATGGGCACATATTTGAAGTTAATATTTTCTGTATAATATTACGACTTATATATTTTAATAGCATTTTACACAAAAATATATATTAAAAATCTTATTTCATTTCAAAGTTGTTAAAACTTCCAATTTTAAGACGGGTTTGATTGACACATCTTTGCACTTTCACAAATTCTAATTTACTCTTAATAATAAGGAAAAGTGGCAGTTTTCCTTATGGGAATAAATGAAAAATATAAAAACTATAATCCAGAAAATTCAGAGTAGAAATGTTCGAAAGCAAAACATACACACAGTATATAATGTCAGTCCGTGCAGTTGTGGTGAGCACACTTTAACAATTGAACGCACCCGGTGAATCGTAAACATCATCAATAGCAGAGCTCGTGCCCTGTTTACAAAAATTGTGAACGTTTCACAGGTGTACGAGGGTTGATCAAAAAGTTCACGAACTAATTGAATAACTTCCATAAAAGAAACCATATTTGGTTTCAGTCAGACCTGGGGTAAATTACTTTGAAATGTAATGCATTAAATTACAATTACTTTGGAATTTTTATCATTACAATTACAATTACCATTACTCTCTTTCAGAAAAGTAATTAATTAAATTACAATTACTTTGTTAAAGTAATGAATTATTTTACACATTACATTCAATAAGAGAAAAACACAAGACGTTTGATCACACAATTTATATCTAAAAATTTACTTGCACACTTTCTGCTCGATTAATATGCTTTCCCTCAGATCTATAAATCAGCGTGGTATTTCGATTTTGGATTCATGTATCATGTTCATATAGTTTACCAATCCAATCTACAGCTGACAAAGAAAGTGGATCAGAACACTTTCAATGTTGTAGTTTCGTTCAATATATGAAGTTAGTTTCTCTAATGTTGTTGTTTTTTTAATAAATGATACATTTCCTACTATATGTTTTATGGAAACTAATATTTAATTAACAGATAATGCTATAAATGTAAAACGAGTATTAAAAAGTTAATGAATTAATTAGCACTTCTAATTAGCTGAACAGGTATAATCAATGAAGACATAAATTAAACACAACCGAAGGTGATGATTACAAGTACCTTAATATAGGATTTGTATTTTGAGACTTAAGCTACCAACAATGAAATATTTGGCCTAAGTTTCTCTTTGTGTTTACAATAAATCATACTGATATTGCATCATGTTTACCAAGTCCATTTTACAAGAATGAAAAGGGAAAAAGGTAGAAAAATAGAATTTGTATCTTAATTTAACTGGAAGTCTCACCATACATGTATTAATGTCACTTTTTTGTATCTTTCTATAAAACCTGATGATTTCTTTTAATATTTTTTTTCTGTTCTCTTCAATTGATTTTAGAATTGTCTTGTCAAGAAGATTCCTATTAAAAGAATTATTTATTTTGTCTATCAATTTCCATTTAATAATATTAAAAAATTGTAGGATATAGGATTTTAAGACTCCAAAATAATTAATAAAATAATATCTCTATGTGATATTTATTTGTTTCAGATTCAAACATTAAAATCCTAATATACAAAATGTAATTGAAATGTAATTGAAAAGTAATTGGTCATTACTGACATTTTTTTAAAGTAATGCATTACATTACAATTACTTGTAATTGAAAGGTGGATCCATTAAACATTACACCCCATTACTTTGAAAAAATGTAATGATTACAATGCATCACCATTACACATTACCATTACCCCAGGTCTGGTTTCAGTGTTGATTATATTTTGAATTAGTCCTCTCCGATTTTAATGTATATATACCACCGTTCTCCTCATGCGCGAATCACGTGATATAGGCGGTCACGTGACCCCTTCCGTAGCGTTCTGTCACAAAAGCTGTAAGATTTTTCTAAGTTTTATATTTCTCTCCATGTAAGCTAATTTTTATAACAAGAACAATTCATTTGTTAGAAATGGTCAAATCTCGACAACAGAATGGGTGGATAAGAATATCCTTTCCAAATATAAGCATGGCGACCATCAAAACCCAAAGCTTCTATCTCAGGAGAGACGTTTATTCAAGGTGGATAGAGAAAGGGTGCCTCCTTCTTATCATATCTAATATGTTTAAAATCTAAAGTAAACGATATCTGAGGTATTTAATAATTAATTATATTATTGTGAAAATATTCAACTGTTTTTCAAAGTGTTAATTAGACGTCTTTGATAGCCAGTTGCTTAATTAAAAACACATCTCTTTTCAAATTTGCTTTAACTGGACAACATAACAAGTATCATTTTTCACCATTTGCCTTCCTTCACTAAAACGATCAATCCAATCAGTGATTAAATTTATAGGAAGTCATTTGTCTTAATAAACTGTGTACAAATTATTATACGCTACTTCTAAGAGATTTCTAAGATATACCATAAACTTTACAGTCGTTCATTGAACGAGTACGACTGAGACAACCATTTTTCGTCACAGGTGACCTGCATAGTGACGTCATTTTCACATTACGTCACAAACAAGGAGCAAAACTTTATTCAGCATATGCTATTTATAGAACTTGTGTATGGCTATGTGTGTACCAATTTTTTCCTAGTCGGATTTGTGGATTTGTAGTTATAGAGATAGTTTGCGAACTTTTTGATCACCCCTCGTAATCAATTTTCTGAACTCTGTACACAACAATTAGCGCGGAATGAGGATACTTGTGAAGGGGTTTTGGTTTTGCTTTCTAACATTTCTACTCTGAATATAATTATTTTTCTGGATTTAAGTCTTAATATTTTTCATTTTTACGCAACAAGATTGCCTCTTTTACTAAGTATTAAGAACATCCTTTGTGAGAGTGCAAGGATGTGTCAATCAAACCCACCTAAAAAATTAAAGTTTCAATATCTTTAAGATGAAATAAAATTTCTAATATATTTTTGTGTGAAATGCTATTAAAATGCATATACAGAAAATATTAACTTCAAATCTATGTCCATGCACCTTTACATGTAAGTCTGTCCATACTTTTTACTAACATTAAAATTGTTTTAGCTTCATTTCGAAGCATATCGGCATTGCATAATTACCAAATGTACTTATTTTAAACAACTTGTTATAGATTTTGAAAATTAAGTAAATGTTCAAGTACTAAACCTTTTGTTATTACATTTTGGGAGGTATTATGAGACAAATTCATAGAAAAAAATCAAATAATTTCTAAGAAAGCAGACAGTAGATTTTGAATAAACATTTATAAGGATTCATTTAGGTAGAAATAAAAATGTGGTCAGTAAAAGTTGCTAAAAAACGAAATTATTATTCTTCTTTTGAAAGAATGAACTAGAAATAAAGAAATTATTACGTTTGCTACATTCCGTTCCTGTCCATCCGTCAGCACAACCTTCATCACAATCTCCGGAGATATGATTGCAAGGTTTGCTGTCTCTACAATGCCCACTACATGGTGTTCTGCACTCTAGACCGTAATATCCTACAGGGCAGGCTAGGTAAATAAAGCGCACGTGTTCAATAGTTTTTTTAAAAAATAATAAATGATTTCTTTGAAAAAATTAGATACTAGTAAACCACCATACATTCAATCTTACAATTATTACAGAACTCTCCAATCCAGCCAGGTCTACAACCTAGACAGGTACCATTCACAATGTAACATCTACGTTCTTGACAGTTTTCTGGACATGAGAGATCACAGTCATATCCATAAACACTAGGATGCTTACAACCTATTGTAAGAATAAAATATTATTATACTTATGTATTTGTATTTGTAGTTATGGTTATGAGGATTTGAATGTAGATTTATATTTGAAATCAAATCTTATTTATTTTGCTTACTAACCTGTAACCGTTACTTCACACAATTCGGTGAAAACGTTCGAAGTTTGGTATCCTGTAGGGTACGTAATTCCTTTCAGTCTTTCGTTGTAAAATATTACAAAACGCCCCTGAGTTACACATGCAGTATTGAAATCCAAGGGAGGTAATTCTGGTCCATCTTGGTAGCACTGGTTTCCGTTCTCTTTATTTGTTGAATTGGACACATAAAGGGAGAAACCGGCAAAACGACCTTGTTGTCTCATAATCATTGTTCCTAGAATCATGAAAACGAATTGTGTTTACAGGATATTTAAGATGAAGAAAAAATAGGAATATTGTAGGCCAAAGCAGTTATAAAAATAGTATCCATTGGTTAAGGTCAAAATTTAGTAATTGACTATAGAGTCAATTTTTGTTGCTAGACCTATTATGACGTCATAATCAATTTCAACTTTCCTTTTCCCGTACTTTACGGCTCTAATGGAATTATGTAGAAAATAAGTTATGTATTTTCATGGAGTTCAACTTAATTTGAAATCATATGAAAAGTAATCCCGATACCTATATTGAATTTGATATCATTTTAAAGAAGAGCCTGGAACATACAAATTTCCGTTTTGTGAGAGATTAGGCATTCTGGATACATTTCCTTTGTCTGATATTGAAAGAAGTCCCATATTCATAACTGTTTTTCTAAATTTTTCATTCAAAATGACAGTTTAATGTATGATTTTTCATCTTGTTTATCTACAAATTATGCTCCGAAACTCCTTATTTGACAAAGCTAAACTTATAAAGCATCATTAAAAGAATTTATTTCTCATATTTGATAAATCTGGTGGCACCTTTCATTTACTCTTGACCTTAACATGATATCTGTTATATGCGTGTAGCCATCTTGCATGTAAAGCAAACAATAATTTTACTCAGTTTACAAATGTTCCAAAAAATCATTGAAAAACTTACTATTGTCCGTCCCATAATCATGGAAGTGTATCCTGATACTGTATATAGTTTTTATGTCTCCCAGGTCTACATACCACCAGACTGATTTCAACTGAGAAGATCCACCGATATCCACTGTCTTCATGCATGTTTGTACGTTTCCATCCACTGCAGTTGTGGCAGTACAGGGAGGCGAACAGACAGTCGTTGAACTTTGACTGGCACTCTTGTTTGTTGATAAATCCTCTAAATAGGAAGTTCGCATGTATGAATATTCAATCAAAACACTTTTGTCTTGTTACGACTGCGGAATGTTTTAAAAAAAATCTTAAATGTGCACATTTATTAATTTTCTTTTTGTTATAACAAATTCACAGGTACATGTATAATAATTGTCATCTTTTGGTACAAAAACAACAGTCGATCTATACGCAACAGAAATACTTTTATAGAATGTGAAACTTGTTTTAAAGGTAAAAAAGACAAACAAAAAGAAGTCAAAGAAAAAAACAGAGGTCAGCAAAGGAAAAAAATTACAAATAATACAAAAAGATAAAAGATCAATCTAAAATTTTCCTCTTTGTAGGTAATGGAATGTATATATGTAACTCTATGTGTTGCTTATAGTGCATCACAGATATTTGTCAATGTCTTTCCTATTCCTCATATCTACAACTCTTAAACAACAATTTTTTTTAAAATGAAAATTCGATCCTTCTGTGGTCCTCTTTTATACAGCGTCAGCATTTTTTTTGGGATCATTCTTATATTAACAAGCAAATATAAAATGTTTTGCAATAAGTATTAAAAGATTTTGATTTTTTTTTAACATTCATTTTTACCAAAAAGTATTGTTTGTCTATCAAAAGTACAATGAATATTAAAGTTATTCAAAACCCATTCTTCAATGGTACACCAAAGTTCTTTTACATAAAAACATTCAACAAATAAATGATCAATTGTTTCTATGTCGCTTCTGCAGAAGTACTTGCTGTAGAATCAATCAATTTTAGTCTAAAATGATGGTGATACGTTGGGATGATTCTATGTAATAATTTAAATTGTAGCCATTAAATAGGCTGGGTGGTTGTGGCCATTTTTAGACTATTTTGATCTCTTTAGAAGAAGAGCTCCATATCAAGATATAATAAAATGATAAAATTCAAAAGTAAAATTTATGAAATTTTTCTTTTCCAAATAATAGTTGACAGCTTAAGATATCATATCCCAAAATTTAAGTTATATCTGGTGGTTAATAAGAAAATAATTTGTTGACCCCCTAGCCTCCTTAAAGTTAAGATTCTTGTTGATAGAATAAGATTGTAATATAAGAGCCTCTTATCCAAAGATTTTATGTCTTCTTTTCGTTCGACTTCAAATAGTTTTACCCAGATTGCATCTGATTGCATCGGAGTGGATGTCTTCTGATCCTACTTGATATTAGATCAGAAATGAATTCGAGTATAAGCAATCATTTTAGACCTCCATATTTATAGTCCTGGATTATAACATTTTTCTTTACCTTATGAATTTTGCTACCCATAAAATACTAGAGGTACTGTGAGCAATGAGGTAAATAAATGATACTCCTGCCTCTCATATGAATGTAATGACAGTGTCATTAATAATAATAAAATTATAGAACACATTTCATTAAATTAGGAACAGCATATTATGTTCTCCCAGTTGAGATTGGGAGATGATTTGGAATTTCCAAAAATGAGACTTTGTAATTTGTATAATAAAGGGGAAAAAAGCTGATGAATATCACTATATTTTAATTAGAATGTCATTTTTTTTTAAATGCAGAAAAAAGTATTTACCCAATAAATATTGTAATAGACCAAAATTTTTACAAATTCTCAGAATTGTTGTCAACTGCTGACTCGAAAGTATTAATTACCGTATATACTCGCCTATAAGTCGGATTTTTGGGAGTTAATTTCAGGTCCAAAACTCTATGTCCGACTTATAGGCGAGCTATAAAATGAATGGTATTATATGACGTCAGTCCCTCTGATTTTTTAGCTTATTAAATACAACCGACTTATAGGCGGACCGACTTATAGGCGAGTATATACGGTAAACTATGCAGCTACATAAATAGATTACATGAAGAAATCTGCCATCCATTATTACTTTTATTGCTTACCTTATAATTTGAATGTATTTCCCCCATTTCACGTGCATCTGTATATTGTTTTTTTGTATATGTTGAACATCATGTTCGATTAATTGGTTTGAGTGAATAAATGGAACTTGAACTTGCTGAGCAAATATCCAAGTTTTCTTTGCTATGTGAATGTTAGTTTATAAGGTTTACATCTCTTTTTCTTATCTGAATATCTACTCCTTTTTTAACATTTGTACCAAACAGTTCAAAGCAGACAGTGAAATAATTGGTATTTCAGCTTTATATCTAGATTTAACAATCTCCTACTAATACATAGCTTAAATAAGTTTTCAAATTTCAGAGGCAGTAATACTGTACATTAACAGACATCAAGACGTATGTAAAAATGAATGTCTAACTTTGGAAACTGCATTTATCTTTAAAAATAGGAGGTATTGTTAGTGATTTCGCAAGCATATAAATTTCTGTGACAAATTAATGTTGACAGAAATCGTTTCATTTGTCTTTTTCGCTAGAAATTAAAATGGCAAAAATCTTGTAACAAACATGTTACAAATAAGTGCACACAATGAGATGAATTAATAAATATCTTTTAAAACGTTTACTCACCATATCCTAAACTCGTAACAATGCTTAGCATCACCAAACAAATTACCATCTGCATGTTATAGTATTTTGTATTATAGAATTAACATAACGAAAATTATAAACACTTAACAGGAAGTAATATAAACTATTGAACTATGGTGGCTTATTTAAGCCAAATTTTAATGTTTATAGATGAAACATATGGAGATACCGAACAGTATTCAAGATCAAAAGTCAATAAAACAATACAAAATAGGAGCAGAGCAAACATGGACCTTCGAAACATCAGAGGTAAGGTCTGGTGTGCCATGGAGGAATGAGCAACCCCTGCTGATCGCTCCTAGTCATGTCCGGGAAATAACGGAAAAAACTCGTCGTCAAATCAGTGTATAAATAATGGACAAACAATTAGTATGAAAAACGTCAGTCAGCATTTTGACCATAGAACTTACGAAATGATGGCTTTAAACGAGACTGCTGATATTATTGTTTCATCAACTTGTATTTAAAAAAATTTCCCTCCTTTTAGAAATTGTTCATAGGTAGAGCATGCTCTTGCGTATCGAATCATTTGAGATATATAAACTCCGTATGCAGGTGATGAAAGTATATTGCTGCATAAGTAAGGGAAGTTGACGATTGTGAAGTTAAAGTTTACCAGAGAGCTTGATTGTTTGAATACCATTAGCGTCTTTTTCAAGTAAAATGTACAACTATGAAAAAGATTTGTCAGACTATGATACATCGTATCAACATAAGAATGGAACTTACCATTGTTAATTGACAACACGCCGTCAATATATCTAAATGTCGAATTGAAGGCCACAGCAAGTGTTTTCTTCTTTTCACGAATAAGATTTTGGACAAATTCTGCTTCATGTGAATACAAAATAGGGACGCAATTAGTGAAACAACTATGAAAAAGATTTGTCAGACTATGATATATCGTATCGATATAAGAATGGAACTTACCATTGTTAATTGACATACGCCGTCAATATATCTAAATGTCGAATTGAAGGTCACAGCAAGTGTTTTCTTCTTTTCATGAATAAGATTTTGGACAAATTCTGCTTCATGTGAATATAAAATAGGGACGCAATTAGTGAAACAACTATGAAAAAGATTTGTCAGACTATGATATATCGTATCGACATAAGAATGGAACTTACCATTGTTAATTGACATACGCCGTCAATATATCTAAATGTCGAATTGAAGGCCACAGCAAGTGTTTTCTTCTTTTCACGAATAAGATTTTGGACAAATTCTGCTTCATGTGAATACAAAATAGGGACGCAGTTAGTGAACCCGCTATGTATCTTTGTTTGTAAGGATTTTTATGAAGTTTCGGAATCCCAAAATAGAAATGGCAATATACATTCAGTTTGATTATTAGGGATATGAAAAAATCTTCAAAACTGACATATGATTTTGAAGAATTTCTTCCTTAGAAAGGGAACTATGATTATAAGCTGGATTACCACTTGTAGAATTAAATCCAAGTTCTAAATACAATTTATATAATGAGCCTTACAAACGAAGACAGTGTTGTTACATTGTTCATGCGGGAACCAGAACGTACTGATCATGTAATCTATATAATTCTTTTTTTCACTTCTGGATTGTGGAATAAAGAAGGATAGATGGTTTTTATATTGACCCTCAATCTTTAAATAAGAGATTGTAACATAGATTTGATACATTTAATCTATTCCGAGAAAGTGTAAAGTTTTCTTTTTTCATATATGACCCATCGTCTGGAATAATCTTCTACAGAATCTATAATATTTATGAAATTTCGACGCCAGCTGAAGGATCGAGGTTCCCTGTATTTAGGACCTTTTAAAATAAGTGAACTAAGGTCCTCATTATTACATGAAACTATACTTACGTCACCTGCATAGCTATAGGGTGAAGAAGAACATGAACACGATGGAGGATTATGTTTCATATATTCGATATCCAGGCCCTGTAAAATTTTCTTGGAATTAAAAAGTTTGGAAGCAATAGTCGAAGTATATTTATCGGTAATACCAGGTGTAGTCTTTCACTTGAAATATGGGAGATCGCATTTTCAAAATTGATTAAATTACAAAATTCCAGTATATGTTTTTGTACTGTGATGTGTTTTAACAAAAATCCTTTTGAGACTGACAATCATGTCACTTTAGGAATAAAAAAAAATATAGGTGAACTGTTAAATGCTATTCTTATAATAATTAATGAATCAAAACTTTGGTTGCAAATTCAATGTTGGACTAGAGAAAAATGTTTTGCATCTAAGATTTTGAACAAATAGTAAATATCTTATTTTGATTTTTTATATATATAATTATAAACTGAGCAAAAAAAGTTTAGCAATTAAAAATATTAAATTTAAAACACAGTAATGAAAATAAGCTACAGCAATTATAATGAAATTGATACATGAGATTTGCATACCGATTGCTGTAAACCAACTTTCATTCGCGTGTGAAAAATTTTCGCGAGGTTCGCAAGAGCGTCGTCATCGCGAATATTTCTTAGAAATTAAAATCAGAGAAAACTCTATCAGAATTTAAAAATATATTTTTCATGAATATTGTTAATAAAACAAATTTTCAACGGATAGTTTACAATTCTTCTCCATAAAAAATATTTAAAGAATCACTGTCTTGTTTGTTGGGTATGGCAAGGCCTCAACTATACTAGTAGTTGCAAACATGGGATAATCTGCAGGACGGGCGAACCTTAAATCAAATTATAAATATAGAATTAAAAATGTTATCTGATAGATTTAAAAAAAAAAACACAAGCCCCCCATGTCAATTACAAAAGACCCCGACCAATGACGTCAAACAAAAAGACAACCACATGAAATTTACTAAGAGATAAATTAATTTTTTGAGAATTCCTCAGGACATGAATTGAACATTAGTCAGTATATGGTTATATAAAAGGAGTTTACGATAGGTACTCCCCAGCCTGGGAGTGTGAGTATGAAAGCAAATCGTCATGATTTCCCGGATAATAATGACGTGGTAAAAGTGCATGGTGAATAAAAATTGAAAAGTTATTCAACTAGGGTTTTTTTTAATATGCTACAGCTGCGAGTGACACAAGGATAATTATTTCTACAGTTTGTACCGCGCCTTGCAGCATAGCCTACTCTACAGAATCCATGAGCATTATCATGTGACAAAGCTGTGGGGTATAACAGCACATGGTTCATCTTGAAAGGCATTTTCATTTCGATAACAATAAATTCTTATCAATTTCATTGGCTTTATTACATCGACGAATGGAAATGAATGAAGCAAAAAGAAAATTAAGAATACCGCCTACCATAAAAAATTAAAACAAAATATATTTGTGATAGTTATTCCGAATTTTTTTCGTAATGGATTCTATAATTAATATACAAATATCATATGTGGAAAGTATATGTATTTAAGAGTAATAAAAGAATATTTTGTGGTTAAGAAAAATGAATGTAAAATCAATTTATCCACAATCTCTTAATGTCGTGTTTTGATAAGAGTTGTCCATTCCTACAGATAATTCTTGATAACTATGATTTTCATTACTGTTGTCTTCTAACTGAGAAAATGTTCTGCTGCTGTCAATATACTGTGAAGAATTTTTTTCTTGGTCTCTCTTGAGAAACCTCCTGAAAATACAAAATGAAAAAGTTGTATCATTATAATTTCCTTCCGTAGACTGAAAGTTGAAAAATTACTAGTACAAAAAAAACTATAGTGGTTTCTTACCTAAATAATAAAATAAATGCTACAGCAAAGAGAACGTTGATTAACAATGAGAGGGATAATCCAGCGATGTAAGCATCTGATATCTTGCACTTTACATTATCGGTTTTCCCCAAATTTCCTAAATAAACCAAAGAATTAAAATGATCACTCCATGAACGAACAAATGGTACGATAAGCTAGGATAACAAATGTGAGTAACAATGTCTTATGTCTAAACGTTTTGATGATAATATAAATTTAATTAAACAAACACTAAACTATAATTCTTATTATGATGTAAAAAAGTAATATTTGGATGACTTAAATCAAATGCTTTGCCAGGATTTGCATATGCCAAAATGTCTGATGAAGAGATGATGCTGTTAACCTTGATGAACAAAATATGTTAAAAGATCGATTACTGAATATTTTTTGGTCACATTTGGGTCCACCATATGAATTCATCCATCCGTAAGTACATGTGCCGTTATATTTGTTACAAGTTCTATTTTTACAGTTCTCTGAACATTTGTTCCTGCAGTTCAGTCCATAAAATCCCAATAAACATTCTACAAAAAAGATAGGGTTGTTTAGAAGCTATCATTAATAAAAATTTGATATTCATTGAAGTAAACTTGATGATCTACTTAATTATTTCTTAGAGGCCAGTAGATAAACAATTCACTTTAATTCAATTTTAATTAATCTATTGATGTATTATAAGAACAATAAACATCTATTTTAGGCTACTTTGACACGAATGATTCACATATGCATTGCCTTTCATATGTGGCGAAGTTGCCTGTAAATTATTTCAAACCATATTTAACAAATTAAGTAAAAAATCATTCTCATTTAATGTGTAGGTAAACTATAATACCTTCAGTACAGTTCGGAGACCCCATCAACCCCTCAGAGCAGATGCATGATCCGTCAATGTGATTGCAAATGTTATTGCAATTCTCAGAGCAATTCCGAGCACACATGATTCCATATCTACCAGAATCACATGCTTAAAAAGATGAAAAAAAAATTGTATTTTCTTAAGGGGGCCTACTGGGGTTTTATTGTGTGAAAACTACAATAGCGAAACTCTTCATTTTTATACCATATATAACTAATGGAGAGATTTACAAATTTCTATGACTTAAATTTAAAGAGCTTATGTTTATTACTTTTTCTTTAATAACATTTTTATTACCCCTTTCTTTAAGAGCTTTAGTTATCATAACGTCGAAAACACACTATGAAGACGTCAACCTAACTATCAGTTGCAAAATCGGTTAAAAAATCAGTTATATAATATCATAATTACATTTTAAACCTGTAATTTCTTAATTTTGTTAAATTTTATTGATCAAGTGAAAAAAGTTGTTTTAAAATAGTAAATACACTTTATTTTACTATGATGCGCGAAATATTGTGCAATGAAAACCAAAGTCGGCCCCCTTAAGTCACTTACATGCAATGCTTCTAGTTATATCAAAATTATATCACTACAATGTAAACTGACATTTTTTGTCTTAGCAAATACACAGATCTTCGAAAACAGTTGAGATATCAGGTGCCAAGGAGGAGTATGTTTCCCATGTTGATCCGTCACATCTGCCCCGAGGTCTATGTATTGAACACATATAAGTAGTGCTCCGTAGTCAAATTAAGCTTAAAAACAAGAATCTATTTAAAACCAAGGTTATAATAACGATCGTAAAATTGATGTAAAGCTTTCTTTAAACGGGAATGCTGAAATTCTAGTAACACCTCAAAATTAGAGCATGATTTTGTTTATCGAATCAGATGAGGGACATCAACACCATGTGTTGGTTTTGTTGGAATAAATTGTTAAGTAAATTAGGGAAGTTGCCGTTGGAACGGTGAAAAGGCTGACGTCATTCAGTTCATTTATAAGTTTCCTATAATCATTTATAGTCAGTCAACAATCCAAATATGTAAAAGATGTGACAGTCTCTATATTGAATTTTTTATATAGTTCACCAGGATATATCGCGTCGACATATAAATGGAAGTAATTATTGACAATTGATAAGCATTTTTACAGTATATTTAAATGTCGGAAAGGAGGCAACAGCAAGAGATTTCTTGTTTCATACAGAAATTTTTGAATAATTTCTGCTTCATGCAAAAGAAACAGATCTTGGACACAATCACTGCTCATCGTAATTTCAAAAGATTGCTAAGAGACCTTCTTAGTCATTAGAAACTATACCAAAATTGCCAATAAGGAACACAGTGTCTTTTTTATATCAGCTCTTGAGTAGAATGGTGACTTTTATGTAAAATTAAAATATTTTTAAGGAATTAACTTTTGAGAAGAACAATCACAAAATATAAAATTTGCGAGTTCCGCTTTTTATGGGGGAAGCAGATAGACCAAAAACCCTGCTTTCTAATTTATTGTGAGGAATGGTTGTATAAAGGGTGGACAGGTCTTAAAGATATGCTTTTGATGTTTGAAGAATTATAAGATTTTTCCAAAATTTCCTTCATAGCAGTTTATATTTTTGTGAGGACTAAGGATAGGAAACATAGTTGAACTTTTACTGCACCTTGCAAAATATCAACCACGACGCAGTAGTTAAAGTGTTTGCTCTAGAGTTGCTTCTATATTGCGGATTTGAATCCCACTGCTTGATGAGAAGATTGGGGTCCTTCGGATGAGACTTATAAGCAAAGATCACGTGTCGCAATAAAAAAAAAATCCCTCGTGAGTAAAGGTCTAAAGTTGCAGTCCTCCACTGGCAGGTTGTGTCCCCTCAATATGAGTAACGAGATCTCCAAAATCTCAAAGGAACTGTATACCAACAAACAACCACTATATCTTTGTTTGCAAAGATTTTATGAAGCTTGTGCACGTAAACTCATGAGTTTCAAGTGGAACTCAGTGGACTGAAGTTTGTTAACTTTGTTATGAGAGTTAATAAATTTCAAGTTGCATGATTAAATTATATTATTTTTATTATTTTGAAAAATGTGGTGATAACAGAATTTTTAAATTTTAATGTGAAGAACTCTTCTTCAATTTAAAAAAAATGTTATGGCCTTTGAGACTAGCTTAAAAATGTCCTAAATAACTGATTGCCAAGGTGAAAAAAAATACTGCATTAAAAAACTCACTTTCATTGCATATAAGTCCAATAAATCCATCTTGACATCCAAGGTCACAGTGTCCATCTTGGTGATTACAATGGTTTATACCGTGTCGGCAGTGGTTATTGCACTGTTTTGTGCAATTCAATCCATAGAATCCAATGGAACAAGCTAGGTACAACAAAATATCATATCAGACTGTACATAATCTACTAATGATAGAATAAAAACTGAATTATTCCAGGTTAAATTTAGTTTTATATCTGAAACATTTGTATCCTATAACTTTTAACAGGTATTACTGAAACCAAATTAAAATCTTTATGAAGAGGGTAGCACTTGAAAATATGGATTTCTCTTAAAGATTGTTAAAATTAAGCATAATATACGAAAGCCTATTAGGATCAATCTAAAGAAAAAAATTAAAGGCGTTATATCGCCTTTCAAAAAGGCGTAATAACGCGAAAAAAGGCGTTATAACGCCTTATGAAAAGGCGTTATTACGCCTTTCTGTTCCAAAAGGCGTTATTACGCCTTTCCAAAACTCGTTATTACGCCTTTCCAAAAGGCGTTATTACGCCTTTCCAAAACTCGTTATTACGCCTTTTCGAAAGGCGTTATTACGCCTTTCTAAAAGGCATTATAACGCCTTTCCAAAACTCGTTATTAGGCCTTTCCAAAAGGCGTTATTACGCTTTTCCAAAACTCTTTATTACGCCTTTCAAAAAGGCGTTAATTATTACGCCTTTCTAAAAGGCATTATTACGCCTTTCCAATCAAAAAGGCGTTATTACGCCTTTCTAAAAAGCGTTATTACGCCTTTCTAAAAGGCGTTATTATGCCTTTCCAAAAAAGTTATTATGCTTTTTGAATAACCATTAATTTGCATTTAACAGCCCCGTGCTTTTAATAGCCCCTACCCCCCCCCCCCCCCCCCCCCACACACACACACACTCCACTGGCCAAATTCGTGGGGCAAATACTCGGTAAAACTTTATTTAAATGCAATAATTTGCCACAGTTTTACATACTGCAACAAAATGTTCAGGAACCAAGAAACCAATAGTTAATTATAATATTTAAACTTAGCAAGACTTTTCCTCAAAAGTGTGTATGTTTGGAGGGGGGGGGGGGGGTTTACCCCATTGCACTCGTATTACTGGCCTACATGAAAAGGAAAAGGCGTTATCTTATGTTAATAAATATATAAAGATTTAATTAAAACCATCTTTATTTATGCAATTCTCCATATTCCTGCACATCTCACTGACAACTGTTTGCATTCGTATTAAGAGAAGGCAACACTCTACTTGTGAAGAACTCGAATATAGGCAGATTTATCTTGGAGCTTTGCTTGCCATGTATTAAAATTTATGTTATTTGAAGATATTTTTCTCTCTTCTTGGAAAAAAGCAGGCAACTATTTGCATGGATATAATGAGCAATTGAAATCAATGACCCTTGGTAGAGGTGTGCCTGGTATGAAAGAAGGACTTAGTTGGTTCAACACTGAAAATGTATGACGCATTTAAAAATCTTTTTTCCTGGAAATCTAATTGCTATCTGTTTAAACTATTTTTTGAGAAATTAGTCCTATATCTAATTGTGAAGTTCATGTCCCAAAAGTACGACTTCTGCACCCCCCCCCCCTCGGTTGGGCTAAATATGTTTAGTTATGTATTGAAAGTAAAAGGCGTAGTAACGCCTTTTGGAAAGGCGTAATAACACCTTTTAGAAAGGCGTAATAACGCCTTTTGGAAAGGCGTAATAACGCCTTTTAGAAAGGCGTTTTGGAAAGGCATAATAACGCCTTTTGGAAAGGCGTAATAACGCCTTCTAGAATGGAAAGGCGTAATAACGCCTTTTAGAAAGGCGTTATAACGCCTTTTAAAAAGGCGTAATAACGCCTTTTGGAATGGAAAGGCATAATAACGCCTTTTCAAAAGGCGTTATGCCTTTTTTCGCGTTATTACGCCTTTTTTTCGAAAGGCATTATAACGCCTTTTAATTTTTTTTCTCTCTAGATTGATCCTAATAGGCTTTCGTAATAATAAAACCTTGAACTAAAATCTGATGAAATCGAACCAAAAGTATGTGAGATTAGAGTTTTGAAAAATCCAAGTTATATTTATTTAAACTTTGTTACCGCAGCAACAATATTCCTCGAAATTAATACCCGTCTCATAAGTCCACCATACAAAATAAGTGTTGCCCGGGTGGCGCAGTGGTTAGAGCTTCTTCTCTATAATAAGGAATTTATCCTTACGACGCGGGTTCGAATCCCACTGTGGTGCCACTGTGAGACCGGTTCTTCAGTTTATACCGTATAAATCGAGGTCCCTTGCTGCAGTACGTACTGGCACGAAAAAGATCCCTCACTGCTCAAGGGTCGTAAGTGCTGAGTAAAAGACAGAAATTTGAAGCTCTCCACCTGCAAATGGTGGCGGCTCCAATGAATGAAAAATTTTCGAGAGGGCCGTTAAACAACTGACAAACTAAGTAACATGGCATACAGATTTAAAAATTTCATGATTAATCAATATCAAGATGTCAGAAAGTTCCAGTGCATTCAGAAAGGTGTATATAAAGCTATTGTTTATTTGTTATTGGAAATATACATGGTCTTTTCCCCTTTTAACAGGTCGGAGAGAATACTCGAAATCGGGTATTATCTGTGAAATCGCGTATAATACCCGATATTAGGATATCGTTGAATCTGCGAAATCGGGTATTCCGTGCAACTTTCTTTAAAAACAAAAGAATAAAGCAACGGCGCATTATGCCACTTACTGTTACTTGTACATCAGTATCTTGTGGATTTATTTTTATTAAACCTAATTCATACGGTTGTCAAATAAGTTTAAAATCACACGACAAACACTGCTGGGGTAACAAAGAGGACATAATGGCGTTATTATTTTTCAATATAATTTCTAAAAACAAATAACTACACTTCGTTTGTCATTATTTCCCATTAAAGTATTCCATATACTTAATTTTCTAATTTGTGCACTATTCACAAAATGTGAAACTTTAAAGAAATTAAACGACTAACGCCGTCTTATGCATTTTTACTGAAAAATGTATGGCGTCCCTTTCACGTGAAATATAAATTATTCCTAACAGTTAGAGAGTGCAGTATAAGCGGGTCATACTTGTATATCTCTGCCATAATAGAATACCAACGTTATTATAAAGAAGAAAATACAATAAGATTAAATAAATACCCACGGGAAAACAGGTTGAAAATAGCTAATTGAAGGTGAGTATCTTTTTTATGTCAATTTAGCATAGAAATTTTTATTCAAAGACACCATAAATTATTTGGTTGCATTCTTATCGATACAAGATATGCTATTTTTTCTTTATTTTATGCATTTGTGTGAAAATTGAGAGGGAGAAGTCATATGAACAGGATTTTTTTTGTGTGGGGGGGGGGGGGTTTATAAATAAAAGTCAAATGTGTTCATCTTTTCATGAGCTTACAATACATTGAATTTCTCAATATAGATCGAGGTACAGTCATATTGAAATATGAATTACATAGTCAAAATTTCACATTTCTTATAGTGTTAACGTTTATTAATATGTTAATGAACAAACTGAAATAATGGAGTGTTCAATTGCCTTTGAAACTCTTGTTTTCCTTTTTGGGAATATAATTCCTCCTCGGACATTAAAATTTCATAAAAATTGTAGCCACTTCCTTTCTTTATTATACTATTTGATAGACAGGGTAAATTTTACCTCTTTACCTTCTATATTTTTCTTATATCGCTATCTTATACCTCATTATAATATGCGAATACAACGCACTATCTGATTGGTTCTAGACAATATGTCACAGTTTTCTCTTAGTTATTTTATCTATGATACTTATTACTCATGGCAGTAACTTTTCCTAATACTGAACTATAATGAAAAAATGTGTTAAGAAAAATAAACATGAATTCTAGTTACTTGTAGTCTCATATTGTGTTAGAAAATAACAGGTTGCTTTTTGTTTACCTATATAATTTTTATTTGATGAATAAATCTTCCCTACAATTAAAAATATATAACCGAGTTCAACCGACCGTGACATTCAAAGAGAGGTCTCTTGGACACATGTAGAACACAGTCGAGGTTGTTTTGTCAGAGGTGGTCAAGAAGCCTTTAGCCCCCCCCCCCCCTTTGAAGTCGCCAAGAAATGGTAAAATATTGATGACTTAGCGAAATTAAACGATCAACAGTTATGTTCTCTCATAAGCTGTATTCCTGAAACTATTACTGTCTCTACTAAAATGTTGAAGACATATTCTGCAAATATGTATGAATGATAAAAAAAAAGATTTTCCAAAAAAAAAAAAAAAAAAAAACAGAGAGAGGTTTTTTAGCCGAAATTTTAGACATTTTTATCATTACATTATTTATATATTCATAAATAAATTTGATTTAATGCACAAGATGAATGTGAAAGTAAATAATGACGCATAATTATATACGATAAACAATCCCTTGGCATCATATCTTGTGTGTGAAATGTGTTCCCGTATAATTTGATTTATTTACAAATTGTTCATGTTTGTCGTGTTGATGTGGAATTATTATAAATTCCCGAATTCTGATACTTTACCATTCTGTTGTGTTGGGAATGAACATTAGGAAGATCCATATACTTTCAACATTATGAAAAATATAAAGCAAATCGAACGCCTTTTTCTGTGCAGATCATGAAATGTACTGACCTCCACGGGTATTTGTTGTCCTGAGCGCATTAATCTTGACGCCCAAATTCTTACTTGGCTGGTGATACCTTTAGAAAACATGAGTATTTAGATGAAAGTTAACTCGGCAACATGCACCATCCCATTGTTTAAGTTTTATTAGGTGATTACACCTCCTATACCCGATTTCGCGGAATTCAACGATACCCTAATATCGGATATTATACGCGATTTCACGGATAATACCCGATTTCGAGTATTCTCTCCGACCTGTTTAAAGCTTTTACTAATGTTCAATTTTATAAAAGAAGTTTAAACTAGATAATGCATATGAAATCGAAACAGTCTTTTAAAAAATGATAAATTTAGAAGATAAGTATTCCATTTGAATCATCAACTTCAAAAAATCGATATATAGAATAATGTACATATATATATGAAATATAAAAATATAGAATATATTCGTGAATATTAATCTATGTCAAATTAATATTAGCTTTAAAGGTCAACTGAACACCTTTATCACAGTGCTCCCCCGTACATCCAGGTTTACAGCCGGAGTTACAACTTCCTGTTGTTCTGTTACAAGAGACGCCATTTACACAGTGCCCGCTACAGTTGTATATACAATCAGGACCATACGTTTCTGCCGGGCATTCTGTAAAATTCAAACTTATCTAAAGCATGTTCATTACCACTTTCTAGGAATTTAAAGTATTTCGGCATACGTTCTCGTGTCTTCATCGTCAGATAAATATGTATGAATTAAAGGATTCTCATTGAAATTCTCCGCTAACACTACATGTGTTGTCATTCTAATTCACTATAACTTACACTAATTATATTTAATTTTCAAAACTTGCTATATTTATAAATTATCACAGATAAAGTAAATGTACCTCTGTCAACGGTGCCTTTGCCATTCATAAATAAGTAAGAAGTTCTTAAAATTTTTTTTCAAATAAAAACAAAAAGTAAAATGCAGAAGAAAAAAAAATTCTATACGGTTTCTTTTGGCAGAAATAACAATTTAGTTAAAATGGTTAAAAGAAAATTCAGAATAACCATTAATTTTAGATATTTCTAATTTTTTGGATAGGGAAAGTGAAGAAACTGTTACGTTTGCTACATTCCGTTCCTGTCCATCCGTCAGCACAACCCTCATCACAGTCTCCAGTATTATGATTACAAGGTTTGCTGTCTCTACACTGCCCAATACACGGTATTCTGCACTCCAGACCGTAAAATCCAGCAGGACAGGCTTGTCAATTAAAGAAAAATGTTGAATAATTATGATTTCCTTAAATGAAAAACAGTTCAAATCATAAATCATACCAAATGATATTCAACAACATACTACAAACCTTACAGTTATTACAGAACTCTCCAATCCAGCCAGGTCTACAACCCAGACAAGAGCCATTCACAATGTAACATCTACGTTCTTGACAATTTTCTGGACATGAGAGATCACAGCCAAATCCATAAATACTAGGATGCTTACAACCTATGAATTATTTTAGAAATAACTAATACTGAATTTATGACACTGATTTTTTCTTAAATTAAAAATGCGTACAAACCGTCAAATCTTATTCATATTCCGTGCTTGATTACCTGTAACCGTTACTTCACACAATTCGGTGAAAACGTTTGAAGTTTGGTATCCTGTAGGGTACGTTATTCCTTTCAGTCTTTCGTTGTAAAATATTACAAAACGCCCCTGAGTTACACATGTAGTATTGAAATCCAAGGGAGGTAATTCTGGTCCATCTTTGTAACATCGGTATCCGTTCTCTTTTTTTGTTGAATTGGACACATAAAGGGAGAACCCGGCAAAACGCCCTTGTTGTCTCATAATCATTGTTCCTAGAATTACAAAACATTTGGTGTTTATATAATTTTTTACAATAAAGATTTAGAAATTATTCCTACAATATAAGCACACTGCTATAGATTCTTGCCGAATACATATACTTGATAGCTGGTTTAACTCTTTCCCGCATGCTTACCAATAAGGTACTGAGGAGGAACTGTCAGAGGGTAAGAATTTTGAAATAATTTCTCTAGCAGGACAAATGTAAGTTCTCCGAATATCTAATGTTGTGCTGTTCAAAAAGATTACTTAATGACTCCCTCGCTGTACAATAAATACTTCTTTATTCCTAAAGACACGCACATGGCTCAATTAAGAATTCTTGTATGAAGCTTATGTAAAGATGTCTATCTGTGAATTGATCAAAATGGTCACTTATAAAAGGCCTCTTGATGCTTGTTGCAGCTTAATTTGCATTAACACAAATTTGTAAAGAAAGTATAAAGCATGGACCCTTGAAAATTCCAGAGGTTGGATCAGTTGCCCAGGAGGATTAAGTATCCCCTGCTGAACTATGTATTGATCAGGTAGATGGAATGTTTTGTAGACAAATCAGTTAAAAGACGAGGCCTTACAATCGGTATTAAGCTAGTCAGCCAAAATACACTAGCGAATCTTTATTAATTTCCGTGTAGACTACCACTTAAACTATTGTTTGTACATGTATTCTCTTTGCATGTAAAACAAGCAATATTTGTTGCTCAGTAGTTAATCAAATGATTTAAAACAATCATTCCATTAATTTTTACTTACTATTGTCTGCACCATAATCCTGGAACTGTATCCTGATACCGTATATACTTTTTATGTCTCCTAGATCTACATACCACCAGACTGATTTCAATGGAGAAGATCCACCAATGTCTAGGGTTTTCATACATGTTTGTACGTTTCCATCCACTGCAGTTGTGGCAGTACAGGGAGGCGAACAGACACCTGTTGAACTTTGACTGGCACTCTTGTTTGTTGATAAATCATCTGTAAAGATAATTTGCGTTTGTTTTGAAGAGATACCTTTTACAAGAGATATTGTAAAATAGTCCTTACTTTATTATATGTCCTATAACTTGTGTTCTAGCAACATATTATTCATTCTTCATGTAATGTACTGAACATTTTAGAAATAATTAACTTGAAATCTATGTCCCGTTCCTTTAAAAAATACTGTCTAAGACACAACTGGAATTTGACTGTCAAAAGCATTTAGTACAATTTTATAGATTAAAATTCTTTAAAGCAAACGCCCTTGATTTTCTTGCTATACAGACTAAGACAAATTAAAACCTCTATGCGTTTCAGCATTTTTTTCGTTTATAAAGAGAACAATTGTACAAGAACGCTAATAGCCTAGCAAGGAAATAAATTAACAGAGTGCTTGTACTCACCATATCCAAAAATCGTGACAATACTCAGAAACACCAAATAAATATAAATTTGCATGTTGTAGCATTTGTAAAAAGAGAATTAAAAAAAGGAATTGAACACTTATTAACCAGGAAGTAGTACGAAGAACTGACATAATTATGGTGGCATATATTAGCCAAACTTTGATGATTTTAGAATCTTATTTCATTTGAGATATTCTATTTTCTTGTGTGTACAAGAGTATAAAAATGAAATAAATAAATAGATCTTAATAAAGATCACAACAATCTAATAAAATCCTTTGCTTTGAAGATATTAAAACAGCAAAGTTTTCAAGACTCCAAAGAAATGAAAAACGAAAGTAGGTCAAATATGATCGTAAAGCTCTTTGATATTCTAGTGGTTTGGTAAGCACACCCTATTACCGGCAACTGGGACTACCGATGCAACTGGGACAGCAGACGGCAAAGTTGTTTTTCGCTATGACAGAGACCTAATTAATATCATATTTTAATTATTTTTGACTATCTATAACTTTCTTTATGTTGGTTTGGTTGTTTCTCACTTTGATCATACCTTAAACTATTTTTCTTTAGAAGAAAATTAAAAAAAATGAATAGGATTTCTTATAAAAACAAAATAAGAACAGAATAAAGTTAAATTTCAATACTTGGTCAAGAAAAAGGATCAACTCTTTACTCCGCGTCTGCTCTGGAGTCGCGGAGTAAGGAGTTGATCCCTACGTCGCGGGTTCGAATCCCACTGTGGGACGTGGAGACTGGATCTTCGAATGAGACCGTATAAACCGTGGTCCTGTGTCGCAGTAGTAGCTGGCACGAAAAGATCCCTCCTTGCTCAATGGCCCTGAGTGCCGAGTATAGGACAAAATTTGCAGCTCCTCACTGGCAAGATGTGGCGTCTCTATATGAGTGAAAAATTCTCGAGAGGGATGATAAACAACAAACAAACACAAGGTGTTAGATGTTTAATTGTATAATTTATTATTTCAGAAGATGAATGCCTTCTAAAGAATATAGTCTTTCTGCAAACATATGCTGCAAGTCTGCTGCACTGAAGCTTAATAAACCATGACAGACTTTAAAAACCTTTGTGTATGCAGCAAGTTTGCGGCAAGTATCGCCAAGTTTACAGCAAACAATTTACCATGCAAAAGAGGTTTACTGCTAGCCTGCTGTAAATATTGGATTTTACAATGAAAGATTAGAGAAACTAATAACGTATTGAAGCACAAAACTCCATTAAACAATACAAAATTGGAACAGAAAAAAAACCCAGGAAACTATAAAACATCAGAAGTGGATACAGGTCCCATGCATGGAGGAGTGAGCATCCCCTGCCAACCGGTCACATCCGTCATGTGCTCCATGTCATGATAAAAAACGGAAAAATCCGTCGACAATTCAGTGTGTAAATACTGGCCTAACAATTATTATGAAAAAATGTCAGTCAGTATTTGAATCAGTGATAAATTGTATTTGCTGACAAGGTCATTCTATAGAACTAACGAAATGATGACTTTTAAAAGGACTGTTGATATTCTTGTTTTATCAACTTGTTTGTCAAAAATTTATCTCATTTTAGAAATTGTACTTACGAAGAGCATGCTCTTGCGTATCGAATCAACTTAAGATTTATAAGCCCTGTATGTAGGTGATGATGGTATATTGATTCATACATGTAAGTAAGGGATCGGAAGTTGACGATCAAAAAGTTAAAAGTCATCACGATTATCATAAAAATAAAACAAAACCCTATCTTATCAGCCAGATGTTGTGTGCACCAGTATACTAGTATATACCTTACCTATTTCCAGAATTTTGCTTTTTTGTAATCATATAACATGGTATATACAGGTGTATTCCTACCAAAATACTGAGATATCTACAACTTCAATTCAAATATTTCAAAATGGCGAATTCTGTGTTGACCTAGGTACAGTCAGGGACCTATATACTATATAATATATAGGTCCCTGGTACAGTCTACATTTCATTGGCTGGTTTAACTTGTTTATTTTCTTGTGAACTTCATGAAAACCTTCAGAATGTTTCCAATGAACTTATTGCTGCAAACAACATATTGTCCTAGTGTCAAAGTAAGCCATCAACTGTAAAAGTCAGCGCTCCTCGCAAAAGTCAACTAAGCTAAAGCAAATTTATATTTCATCAAACTTTGTATCCATTGTTCCTGATTGCCATATTTCGTTTTAAGTCTGCTGTCATTGTTTGCCTTGTCTGTCGTTCACGACAGCCCAACTAATTTGTTTGATCCATCAAAATTAAGCGTGTGGGGTACTTTTACGAAACATATAAAACAACAAAGACTAAATTATGTCGACAAAATAGATTAAGAATGATTGGCAGTTTTTGTCATGGCTTTATTGATTAATAGTCAAATCAATCATCAATACAATCAATAGTCAAAATCAATCATCAATACAATTAATAGTCAAATCAATCATCAATACAATGAATACAATGATGTACACAAGGTATCTCTACAATGATGTACATAAAGTATCAATTCAATGATGTACACAAAGTGTATATTGAATAATTAATACACAATGGGTACAATGATATTCAATGATAAACAATGATATTCAGATATTCAATCAATGATGTACGCAAAGTGTATACATGTATTTACACAATGGGTACAATGATATGCATTGATATGCAATGTTATGCAATAATATGCAATGATATTCAATGATATACAATGATATTCAATGATAAATGAATTGCAATGAGCAGGTAGCAATGTATTACAAAGACAATGGTCTACGTCGACTTTATCAATAGTATATGACGTAGAATCAATAGCAATGGCACAATGACGGAAGCTCAATTATTGGCCACTGGCCCTGGAAGATAACAGGATCAGCAGCGAGCTTCTAGCAAAATTCGGCCAAATGTCTTCACATGGGAGCTAATAAAGCGTGGCATGTGAAGACATCCGCCACATGCGGCAAATTTTGCCCATGCCATGACAAAACTGCTATTTATTACAATTATGTAAAATTAATTACTGCTTGATATATATGCAGTATACCGTAGAACTAGGGAAATTTTATATGAAGATCAATAATATATGTAATGATCGATAAGTTTTCAATAGATCAATAGTTGCAAAGATGAATAATATATGTAATGATCAATAACTGTTTAATAGTACAATAGATCAATAGTTGCAAAGATCAATAATATATGTAATGATCAATAACTAAATGGAAATGGTAGGTAGCACTGCAAATTTTGACAAATTATTTTGATTATGTCACACTGAATGGTATAGAGAATAATGGTAGAATGTGCTATATGTGAAAGGTGAACACCCTCTGGATACAATTTTGATGAGCCCTGTTGAATATTCGGGTAGTGACTATACCCCCACCCCTTGTGGCAATGAACCAATATAATGAACAATTTATCCTAATGCAAGCCTTGTGTGACAACAAGGGCCTGAAATAATTTCTTGGCAGTATTTGTTACCCAATAAATTTTAACCTTGGTATTAAACATAATTGAAAACAAGACAGTCAATTTCATAAACTTTTGTAGAAGGCAAAGGGACATGGAACCAATACTATTACCCACAATGAATCATTATGACATGTGGGTTGTCATATTATGACACCAGAGTTTGAATATTTGAATGGTTGGACATTTTTCCAGGTCATTCCTTGTTGACCAAACCATCTGATAAGGATATTGTATTGTTCTAAGTCCAATTTGCATTATCTAAATTGATGAATGTGTGGATTTTTGCATAATACTATATTAAAGATGATCCAATAATCCATACTATTACAGAAGTGCCTACAAACTTAGAATACGTTAAAAAACAGTAAAAAGGTGTTGTCAAGTGTCTGACTGACTAAAACTGAATGTAAGTCTGAAATGCATGGATTTCCAATAAAACATACCATGACAGAAGTGCCTGCAAACTTAGGATAAATTTAAAAACAGTAAAAAGGTGTTGTCAAGTGTCTGACTGACTAAAAATAAAATTGAATGTAAGTCTGAAATGCATGGACTTCCATCTCCCTTTAATCTTTATATAATCTTCAGACAAGCCTGATAAATTCAAGTGTGTAGCGCCCCCAATTCTAAGAGTATTACCCTTAAATGTTTTAGTGTCAAAGCCAAGAAATGAAATAAATTTCTGTAGCATTAAAGTAATGGAATGACGAGAAGGCTTCAAGCCAAATTAAGCAAAAAACTGAACTGAATTTAATTGTCTATTTATTTATTATTATATTATTAACAATTAATTTTTTTTTTTAAATTATGGAATAAAGCTGCATTGTGAAATCTTCAGCTACATGCCACACATCCTGATAAAACTTTACTGTTTAACGAAAATTGAATGACAAAGGCCACAGCATTGAACAATACTGCATTTGAAAGGTGGGCTTATTGAAATTGACAATAATCAGCAAAACAAATTTTAACTCTTTACAAATGTGCTCTGGGATGAATATGTTTTGGCATAATTATGTTTGTTACTTCATACATGTACGAATGTATCCGCCATTTCGCGTGTATCTTGTATTTTATTTTTTGTATATATTGTACATATATTGTTGAACCTCATGTACCATTTATACGGTTTGAGTGAATAACTTGAACTTGAACTTCAACTTGGCTTGTGGAATTTTTAACTAGAACAAGAAATGTTGAATTAGTGGTTGGGCCTTCAATTTTAGCCTGAATTAATTGAAATTTCTATTTCCTGACAAGTTTGTTAGTGTTTAGGTACATGTAGTTTCTAACACACTAAGGAATCCTTGAAATTTATTTATTCGTTTATCTATTTTATGTTAAATACGTTGTGTGGCCTACAATTTTAAACTGATTTAATTGGAATTTCTATTTCCTGACAATTTTGTTGAAATGTTTAGGTAGTTTCTAAGACTCTAAGGAATCCTTGGAATTTATTTATTTATTAATATTTTATTTTTAATAAGTGGTTGGGCTTTCAATCTTAATCTGCATTAATTGGAATTGCCATTTCCTGACAAGTTGTTGAAATGTTGTAGTTCCCGTGCTATTTATTTATT